ATTTTATGGATCATAAAATAAAACTTACAGTCATGTTCGCCATTGCAAATCCATAAAAGCCTAACAAATACCTTAAAATCACTTGTCTGGCAATAGAATAACTTTGAATAATCCAGCTGTTCCTCAGCTTGTATTTCATCAAAATATTTAGAAACACTGAACATAGTTTCCATTCTGTGATAAACAACTCATATTTCTGATCAGGAGGAAAAACAGCTTGTTCATCATCAACTGATGAAGTGATGAAGAAACCAGGAGATGTTTTTTTTTTTTTTTTTTTTGGTTTGGTTTAAAGCAAATCAAGCCTAGGAAAATAATTTAAAAGCAGAATAAAAGAAAAATAAATGATAGGACTTTGAGAGACTTTCAGATGAGTCTAATTCCAGAGCATCTCAGAACGACAGTGAAGCTCTTTCTGATAGTAACTCCAAACCACACAGCAATAAAGCTCTGACTGGAGCTTTTGGTCATCACTGATGTTGTGAAGAACTATGATCTAATGCAGACTTGGATCATAAAAAAAAAAAAACTTTTAGATTGTGCTAGTATCAAGAGAAAAATCAGCCAGAAGAAGAATTTGCTGGTTTTTAGTTTCATTCATCCGTTCTTCTTAGAATGAATCAGTGGATTTAAGAATGATCCACTGAAAACCAGAGAAATTTTAGTTTGAATCCAGAACCATGCCATTACTAATGCTTAAATAGGGAGTATTATGTGTTTCCGCGTACCATCTTATATCACTATATAGCAACTATATTACATTCAGTTGTTATAAAAATGCTGTATATATTAAACAGGACATAAACGAAATTTGACTTCACAATTTGATGCCTTGAAATTGGGTCTCTGTCTCTTTAAGAAGCTTCTACTTTTTCTGACACTCCCGTTTTTGGCACGCCATGACATGTTGAATGGTGAGTTCAGCAAACTCACACCTTCACCAGGTGTTTGCTAATTGCTGCTGCCACTAGTCTGTAGGAGCAGAGAGGCTGAGGCACGGAGACACTAGTAGTTAGTATTAAGGCACCCTTGAATGGCCGCCGCAGAGATACAGAGATTCCTCAAACATGCACGAAAGAGTCAAGTCAACACCCCAGGTAAGTTTTTGATGAGGTAATAACATTACAACATGATGTAAAGCTCAAAAATGTAGATTTTGCATAATACCTCCCTTTAAAACAACCACTGGTTCAGGCAGGTCAAACCCAACAATGACTAACCAGGGCCTGCATTTCACAACGTTGATTTCAGATATTTGTTTCAGGTCTGAAAAACCCCTCAACCGCACTAACCTCACCTCCCAAGAGCCTGCTCGGCTCATATTACTGCACTTCATAAATCCTTAAGGATCCTGGCAGAACGCTATTGTGCAACCACAACGACACAGCCAGTGTCTCCTATGACACATCCACACAGCCACAACGCAAGAGGGCTTCAGTCAAACCACCAGCATGTGGTAAAGTTTCTCTTCACCACATGCTGAAGCATCCCCTTCTGCTTTTGTATCTTAACTTTCCATCTATTGTTACACAAAGTGTTTGGCATTTAAATGTAAGGTAGAGGTTCAGAATAATTACCGGCTAAAGGGGCATAGACTAAAAACATTTGCATCGACGAGGGTCTTTAAAAGTTGAAGTCTCAGCTGTTTGGGAGATATAAGGCAATGACGGCACAGAATAATCCTGACATGATGTGAAAGATGCTAGAATAGTTCACAAAGATGTGTGTATATTGGCTCAAGCTCATATGCACTAAACAGTATGTATAGAGCAGCCTAGTCAACAGAAATATGAGAAATCTAAAAGCAGTGAAAACAACAAAAAACTACACATTTATCTGCAAAATACTAACATTAAGAAGAAAAGCGCCAACTAAAGCCAAAACACTAAGCATCTCTGAAACCGTAGGCCACATAGAAATGCTACATCTAAGTGTTATATAAATGGTGGTAAAAATATGGTGATTAAAAATGTTGAATATTTTTTAAAACATTCTGAGAAATAAGCTAAGAGATAAACAAATTGTCCAAATAGGCTAGAAAAAGATTAAAAGATTATAGCTAAAGCCAAATGATTAGCAACCCACAATGAATCCTGGGAACATATTGAAGAAGGTGCAAACAACTGTCAACATGATGCATGATTTGTGTGACACGAAGTAGGAATTAAAGGTAAAAAGTGTTTCAAATAAACAGGAAGCCATTTTTGAACGCCATCACATGCATGACTCATCATCCATGATGGAAAACATATTTTGCTTCCTCCGGTAAAGCCACTTACAGAATTATGTCGAGTTGTATGTTTTCATAAGCAACATACTTTAAATTTGGAGTGAGTAGAGAGAAGTAGGCAGCATGAATGATATAATGGTGGTCCATAAAATAAAGATGCAGACTTGGTGGTGGATGCTTAATTTACCCCACATTATAGCACAGCTTAAAGCCAAGACATAAAAGAACTGAACTCTAATTATTGTAAGTACCTAATTGAACTTAGTTAAAGTTATGCACGTCATTAACGATCATTTTCAAGACCACATAGTTCTAGTTTCCATCAGTATTATTTAGAAGCAGAACCTGGAAGGCGGATGTTGCATCAATTAAAATTAATATTTAGCTTAGCGGAAACAAAGAACGTCACTGATCAGCTGCTATTTTCCACTTCCAACAAACCGGAAAGACTACTCTAAGGCACCAGCTACCAGATTATTGTTTTGTTCTGTCAGCAGCACCTGATAATGGCTCAATCACAATGATGTTGCATATTAACTGTTAAAGTACTGAAAGTCACCAATCAATGTATGGAAAAGATAAAAGATGGAGGGAGTTTTTTTTTTTTTTTTTTTTTTTTTAAAAAGAAAATGTCAGTAAAAGTGGCAGTAATTGAAAAGTTGTCTCTTTTATAATAGTTACATAATGTTAAAATATTTTAAAGCGGAAGCATCATGTAAAATGTTGTTGTTCTTTAGCTTTATATTATGCTCCAAAGTTATTCCCTCATCAATAACATGCCTGGAGTGTCGCTTTGATTGGTTCATGCATGAACCAATTGAATTTCTCCTATGGCAGAAATTCAAGGGCGTCTAAATCAGAGATAGTGACTTGCATCTCTGGTTTTATGGACCAAATTGCAAAGTCAAATTTATTTTTTTAAGTTACTTTTAATATATGCAGCATTTTTATAACAACTGAACACTTGATTGTGCTGTAAAATGACACAATGTGGCTAGAAAATACATAGCATCTCCCACTTAAAGGGTCATACAACACAACCAACACAGGAAAAATGTAAAGAGTCTAACTTTGCAGTACTCACGTTGGTCTTGCTGGAAACAGCAAAGGTAGCTCGGCTGGAGAAGCGTGTGATGGAGGGGCTGCTGCTCATCCCTGGGCTCATCATCATGGAGGAGCCTCTGGAGCCAGCAGGAGGACTGCTGGAGCTTGTGGGGGAGGAGGTGAGGTTGGCACGGGTCGATGAAAGGCTTGACGGACTGCTGTAGGACTGCGTTTGGTTTTCCAAAGTGAAGTTCTGGGTGCTGGCTTGGCCTCTTCCGTAGATCACCTCCTTCACATCCTGATGGTTCTCCTGTATGTCGTGCAGCTCGTTCTTGTGACTGTGGTTGTTGGTAGTTATGTTCCGCTCACACTTGAGGCCGTTCAGGAGCTCCACTTGCCTTGTGAGAGCTTCCAGCTGGATCCTGAGCTGACGGTTCTCCTGCTGGAGCTGAAGCACGGCCTGTCCAAGCGGACCGCTCAGGTTGGCGGTCTCATCACAACGCCTCTCTATATCGAGCTTAAAGTTGCTGACCTCTGCATGGATCTCTCTGATTGCATCCTGCAAGGTATTCTCATAACGAGTTAGAGCTGAACACACGGTTTCCCCCTCTGGAGAGGGAGAACGGTGGTGACATAAGTCTTCCATCTGAGCCAAGGTTTGAGCCTGCATCAGCCCAGCTGCTGCTGCTGGTGACAGCTATGGAAAAAAGCCTCACCGTGTTTGAGTTAACGTCTGAGACTGAGCTTACTGGCCCCTGGAGACACTCCTCAGTCAGTCTGCTGAGGGAGTAGGGATTGATGCACACCAGGGTTGAGAGGTGAAACCTAGAAGGATGGGGTGGGGTGGGCCAAAGGTCTGGACTGTGTTATACCCACTCCTCCAGCTCTGTCCTGATATGAGGCTTCCTGACGTCTGTCTTCTTTCTCAAGCTCTGCTTTTCAAGAATCAACGTCTCATACTGCAAAAAGGAGACGAAAGATTAGAACATGCAACATTCATTCAGCAGGAAAACGCTTAGGCAAGTCCTCTAAAATCCCTAAATGATGTCAGTCTAAACGTAAAGAAATACTGAATTCAGTTTAAAGACATTACAAGACAGCGAGAGAATCTCATTAAACATCTCATCAGGCAAAAGAGGTTTTCAATGCTGCAACAAAGCTCTGTGGTGAGGTCATGTTCAGCTGCAGGGAAGCCTACCCCAGCTCCGATCCTGAGGGTTTTTTTGAACAGCTGTGTGAATGTGTCCTGGAGTGTGTTCGCTGAGCTCTGCTGCGCTTTGCCGGCTCTCTCAGGTTGAGCACTCCTCTCTTCTGGCCCGGAGGAGGGAGGAGAAAGGGAGGTATCAGGGAAGAGGGCGTGTCAGAGTGGAGAGCCTCACTGGAAAGAGTAGTAAATGTGACGAGACGAGGGAGAAAGAACAACTTTCTCTCTCTGGTTCTACTTGTCCCTTTCTAGTTACATAAAATAAAATACAAAAGGAATAAAACTTATGCAATGAATAATGAAAGAGGACCCGAAAGTCTTTCGTAATGGCATTAAAATCAAACATTTTGTGTGAATTTGAAGTCAAGTTAAAGCACATTTCAGTGACAAGGCAGTTCAAAGTGATTTCCATGATGAAAACATGATTGTGAAACAAGCAGTAAACATTACATGTATCAAATGCCATCTTCGAAATCATCAATGCACATCAAATATGTTGATGTGCCATTTGCTACTAACTCTAAACAAGAGGGCCTTTACCCTTGATTTAAAGTAGCTCAGAGTTTCAGCTGTTTTGCAGTTTTATGGAAGTTTGTTCCAGATTTGTGGTGCATAGGAGCTGAATACTGCTTCTCCCTGTTTGGTTCAGGTTCTGGGTGTGCAGTGCAGATAAGACCCAGGACAACTAAATGGTCTGGAAGGTCGATACAACAACAACTAATCTTTTAATGTATTTTGGTGCTAAGCCCATCAGTGATTTATAACTAATAAAAGTATTTTAAAGTCTATTCTGAGCTGCGGTGAGTCAGTAAGGACTTTAAAACTGGAGTGATGTGTTCTATCCTCCGGGTTCAATTTATATTTATAGACACTCAATTTATTTAGACAATTATGTGCTTAAAGGTTATGATTGAAAAGAGAGGACCACCACCCTCTACGCGTAATTGGACCCAAAGAGAGCAAACATTCCTCACCAGATGGCAGTGGCGTTTGAGTACCAACGCTACTGACAAACTCCTGCAAATACTTTGACACTGAGCCCTCCTGAAAACTGTCAACAATCTGTGTGTGTGTGCCAGTAAGTGTGTGTTTGCAGGGGGAGGTTGTCTCTGCATGAGTGCATTTATCTCTTTCCTTCAAACACATGGGAGGGGGGGGTTAAGTACAATGCAAGCCAGAGATATTAACTTAATTGGTCAACTGAGGTCCATAAAATGGGTTCTCATTGGCATAATTACTAGAAAAATGTTCTGATCTAGCCCAGTCATTGTCCCTGCCTGCTGTAACGCACCAGCTCAGTTGTGATTACTGGTGCCTCTAAGAGGGGGATGTGTAAATAAAAACAGATTTGGTTTAACTTTCACTCCAGCAGTGAGAATTTTATTGACAGTGGAGATCATGACTATATGCGAGTGAATTTCTTTCTCAAATAATTTGCTTGGTATTATAATTCTGGAGTAAACTGAACCCACTGTGGTGCCTGGCTCAGGAAAAGTTAAAGAAGCCTCATCTATTCCATTTTGTGCAAGTCTTATGCATACAGCAGTTCACAGTCCAGGAAAATACTTTTCTCTAATGGAAATCTCCCCAGTTCTGATGGGGCAGAGAGAGACAGAATTGTCACCAGACTTGGGAAAGAAGTGTGAAATATCATACTTAATGGAAGCTATATTTATCATGATTAGTGGTTTTGTTGCTGGTGAGGTAGACACGGTGGACCCAGGTTTGTAGAGTAAATGATGGTTTGCTGAAGAAGTGAACAGAAATCCAGGCAGCACAGGTGAACAATGAGGCCAAGAACTGAAACATACTGGCAGCATTGGTTACACAACTTGACGACAATGACAACAGAGGACTCCAACCACAATACACAAGGAAGGTAATCAGGGGAGACGAGGGACAGCTGGGGGCAATCAAGGGGTAGACAGGACGGAGACGCAACTGAACACAGAAACCTAAATTAATACAGAGAAAAACCATATCCTCACAATATTAGTCTGGCTCGTCTCGTTTGGTGGCAAAATATATACGGAAATGTACAGAGAAAACACTTGCACAAAATGTAAGAGGGATTTTTTAGACCTCTTGAGTAGCAGTCCCCTCATTGCCCTATCGCGGATTATCCCCCTCCCCCTGCTCTTACGGTCGCACTGGTTGACAAAATTTCCCGTTTTCTAAAATCCAAAATTCAATAGTTATGAGTTGCCCAGGCATTTCGGTCTTAATGTGACCAAGTCAGAACCCTATTAGACATACTGTAGTTAGATCAGGGGTCTCAGACATGCCCGTCTCCTGTAGGTTTTAGACAAGTCTCTGCTTTAGCACACCTGGCTCCAATATTGGCTCATTAGCATAGCTCTGTAGAGCTTGACTGCATGCTAGTGAGGCAGTTTAGCCATTTAATTCAAGTGTGTAGGACAAGTTACAAAACTCTGGTCCTTGAGGAATGCAGTTTGAGACCACTGCTTTACAGTAACAATGAGTCAACATGTAATGTGGTCGGACCACTATGAACCAGAGTGAACCCACTTCAGCTGTAATCACAACTGTAAATATTGCTTTCCACATAACCCCCCCAGGGTTGAGCTTTTTCATTGTTTCGAAAATTAGCAAATGGGCTTGACATTTCCAAACCCAGTTCGATGCAGAGTTGAGATTTCAGACATTCCATGATTACTTAAGAGGATGGATACTTCGTTTTCTCATCTGATCTTCACGAAATTCAATATTGCAGTCATATTTACAAACCTCCTCCGTCAATACAGAAAGACCATCTAAAGCTGCTTTTCCATTGACCATATAATTGTACAATTTGACATTATGAAAACAAATTTGATGAATGGAAACATGACAATTTTGAAGAAACTAGTTTTTTAATAAAAAGTTTGGTCATATCAAAAAGGATTTATCTCACAAAACTGCAATGGAAACACCTTTTCGCACCGCGAGTCACATGATCAGCACAGGTGCAAACCACACAGAAGAAGATGACGGGAAGTAGTTGGAGGATCATGGTGCGGAATGTTTTTTAATTAACACTTAATTGTTTTTTTATTCTGTTTTTGACATTAGCAGAATATTAACAAAAATTTACGCATATTTGTAATGGAAACAGCCTAAGTTGTATTGGATGAAAACCAGAAAAAAAAAAAATTACACATTTTCACTCCACATTAACTAACTTCCACATTAGCTGTTGGTCATGTTGAGGCACCACTCCTTCTACATCGAGAACAGCGACTAAACTGATTCTCCCAGCATGCACTGAGGCACAGTGCATCCTGGGAGAACCCGGGAGCGTTTACCCCGTTCTCTGGCCCATCGAGAGTGTTGTACAACACTGAAAGCCATTATTCACAAATGGAGAAGCAGAAGTAGGGAACGTTCTGAAGCGTGGCCGCTCTACCACCGTTATATTTTAACAGCACATTAACAGCAATCAGGAAGGTCAGAAAGAAAACAGAACAACATGTAGGCAAATGTGCCTCAGTTCACGTCATTGTTCATGATTCAACAATGACCTAGATTGGGCCAAAATTGCATCCATTGGAGCGTTTTGAGGCCAAAGCCACAGCTGTACAATGAAGTGTGGGCCACAATTGGAAATTGTCTCTGTGAACAAAATGACACAATTTATGCACTGTGGATGAAGTTTATAGGAGCCTTAAGAAAAGTCTCTTTAGTTCTTTGGCTTTTTTTTTGTTAAATATTTTTTTCTGTGAAAAAAACCACACATTATATTTAAAACTTTTCAAACACAAATGAATGAGGAAATAATTGCTGTCAAATTGCCAAACAAATTAAACCACTTCTCACTACTAATGCTTCATGGGAGCCAAGTGTCGACGTGCTTGTTGTCGAGCAACTCCCAGCTTTGTGATGCTCTGTTTCACATACTTGTCATGGAAGGTGTTTCACTGGCCCGTCTCTGAATGCCGTTAAACACTGCAACAGTGAAACTAAACTGGAAGAAATCAGATGTAATCACGCCAAGCATAGATCTGCGGTAGAGATATCTGCCTTCAAGTGCATGCCACTAAGTCAAAACAAGGGTAGAAATCTTAACCAGGAGATGACAGAGTCAGATGGTGAGACAGTTCTCATACTGTTCTCGTTGTGGCCTTTAAAGGAAAACCATGTACCGGTGTGATTCAACAGAAACTAGTCTGAGGTCCTCCTTCTTCTCAATGTGACCTTACTGAACCTGAACGCTAAAAGATGTTGACATTCATAGTCTGTGAAGTAGGATAAAAATGCTAAATTAAAACTATTTTGCTTTGAGAGGCCTCTTGTTCCAGGGATTTATTTTAATGCTGTTTAACTTGCTTTGCAGCTGGTAATAATTTCCGAGCTGTATGCAAAGGAATAATGCCTGCTATAGAGTAATTACTGATTCTGTTGTTTCTAATTATGCTGTTAATTATAGATATGCTGGCAAAAATATGGTGACGCAATACAGCTAAAGATCCCAACATAAACCACATTCTTCTTACTACTCTTTAATTTCTCCTCCACAGACATCCACCCCGTGGCCCCGTGCATTTCTTTAGGAGGGTTGGGGGCTTGGAGTCTTTAGCTCCTCCTAAATCCTCCCATCAGTATTGCAGTCATAGTGTGATGCAAACCGTAAACATTAACAAGAGGACTCAGAGTTCACGTTCAGAGATCTGTGCAGCCATTAAACACAACACAAATATGCCTGTTCTGCCCTCAGCCTGCCTTCCATAAACAGACACACAGACTCACACATGTACAGATGCAGGCGCTGCATGCAAAAAGCAGAGCTGTGCCAGAGTGAACTGCCAAACGGTTCCACGTCTAAACATGAAAATGAGTCAGTCTGCATGTGGTTTAGTTTAAGCAAAGCTGCCACTGACGATCTGCTTTTCTGCACGTTACTGTGATACATTATTTTTGTTTGTTTGATTCATTTCACGTCAAGCTCATTTTAATTTCAGTCGTGCAATTTAGGTGCAAAATTTTTTGAAAATGCGACGCTAATTTAACTGATCTTAATTCGAATATCAGATGGAATTAAAGTTATGCTCTCAACCAGGTGGTGTGCTGTGACTTTACAGATAAAAAATGTTATTTATTCCCAACAACATGAGGTTAAAAAAGACAGAAGGTGGTTTTTAAGAATCCACTCGAAAAACGATATATTTATCACCCTACACAAGGTCATAAATACATAAATATGGTTTTCAGTCATGTACAATTACATCATTTTTGGCAAATTAATACTTAATTTCAAGGCTTTACGAAGCTTCAAGTAACTGGTTTTTATAAGTACGGTTTTAAGAACATAAGATTTGGGAGCGGCAAGTCTCTACAGCAGTGGACAGTCCCTTCTCCTCTACCTCATGTAGCTCCACTCCTGCATAAACCACTTATGTTAGCTTAGATTGTAGGCAATAATACATTTTCAACCAATATGTGCTCAGTTTCTGAACTTGGTACTGATTGATCATGTTGACATTTCTTTTCTAACTTCAAAAGGATTTATTGGAATAATCTTTAATTAACCTTTTCAAATTCTTAAAAAACATTGGCATGTAAAAGGTTCTAAATGTCCTGACATGTTTGAAACACAACACCAACAGCAAATAAAATATCTTCCCTTTTTGTGTGGGCTTTATTGCAGTTATATCTCCCAAAACACCATACTTTATGAGGAAACATAGCACGGTTTTCACACACTTACAAAAACATATCCACCAAAAGCCTCACATTGTTTCTCTTTTGCTCTGCCTCTCCATGCTCCACATGCAACTTGTTAAAAGTCACCTTCTGAGGTGTCAATTACATCATAAGCTGGCCGCAAACTGCGAGCCA